TAAGCAGGGGAAACCTGAGGAGAGTGTAGTTGTGCAGCATCCTAATGGTCAGTCCAACACTATGACCATGATCATTGATACCGGAGCAGATGTTACCATCATCCCCAGACACAAATGGCCTAACACCTGGCCTGTGGTAATGGCACCTGCAGGAGTGAGAGGGGTAAGTGGTGTACAGCAAACATGGATCAGTAGAGATGTGGTAAGCTTTCGTTTTTCTGACGGTACATCAGTGAGTACAAGGCCCTATGTGTTATCTTTGCCAGTGGGTTTAATAGGTCGAGACCTGCTAGGTCAGATGGGAGCACGCCTGGTTACTTCTCCTTTTTAGGAGCGGCCATTGACAAGCAGCTGACCTTGAAGCTGAAGTGGAGAACAGAAAAGCCCATATGGGTCGATCAATGGCCACTGAGAGAAGACAGGCTACAGATAGTACAACAACTGGTTCAGGAGCAATTAGATGCAGGTCACATTGTTCCATCTACAAGCCCATGGAATACTCCTATATTTGTCATTCCAAAGAAGTCAGGGAAATGGAGACTATTGCATGATCTACGGGCTATTAATGCAGTCATAGAGGATATGGGAACTTTACAGCCAGGTTTACCCTCTCCTACAATGATTCCACATGATTGGGCTATACTGATAATAGATCTGAAAGATTGTTTCTTTACTATTTTCTTGCATCCAGATGATACTGCAAAATTTGCCTTTACAGTACCCTCAGTGAACAAAGCAGAGCCAGCAAAGAGATTTGAATGGGTTACTCTCGCACAGGGGATGAAGAATTCACCTGTGATGTGTCAGCTCTATGTTGCTTGGGCTTTGCAGCCATTTCGAAATCAGCATCCCGAGCTATTGGTTTATCACTACATGAATGATATTCTAATAGCAGACCAAAATTTAGATATCCCTGTGTTGTTGTTGCAGTTAGAACAGGAATTAAGTCAGCATGGTCTGAAAATCGCTCCTGAGAAGATTCAGAGACAAGAGCCTTGGCAGTATCTAGGTTGGACCATAACATCTGGTATTGTGAAACCACAGAAGTTAACTATTAACACTGACATAAGAACCTTGACTGATGTGCAGAAGCTACTTGGTGACATACAGTGGGTAAGACCTGTTTGTGGGATAACCAACGATGATCTAGCTCCTCTAATGCCTTTGCTAGGGTCTGTTACTAATGCAGACCTTCGGAGAGAATTGTCAGACGTGCAAAAAGCAGCCATAGTTAACATCTCAAGTAAAATAACTGCAGGGTATGCCTGTAGAACACTAGAAGATCAGTCAGTCCAGCTCTGGAGGGAATTACTGTTTTTACAGATGCTGGACGAAAATCTCGACGAGCGGCAGTGACCTGACAGGAGAGAACAGAGTGGAAACACAAATTGCTTCCAGGTGTTACAAGTGACACACTGCAAACCCTTGAATTGTAGGGTGTAGTGTGGGCTTTTGGCTTCTGGAGAGAAGAACCTCTCGATGTAGTTTCCGATTCTCTCTGTGTGGTGGGAACAGTTCAGAGGATAGAGAGGGCAATGATCAAAACCCTGAAGAATAAGATCTTAGCAGCACTCATGACACAGTTGTTGCATTTGTTAAACCAGAGAACACATCCCTACTTTATCACTCATATCAGAAGTCACCAAAAACTGCATGATGGTTTAACACTTCGTAATGACAGGACAGACAAGTTAGTAACACCTGCATGGGTCGGTCCTACTGTGAACAAATTTCAACAAGCAGTCTTGTCCCACAACTTTTTCCATCAGTCTGCAGAAGTCCTAACCAGACAATTTGGGTTAACTCTATCAGATGCACGTGGTATTGTACAAGCTTGTTCAGCCTGCCACAGAAATGGGCTGGGCATTGCAGCTTTGGCAGATGGATGTCACTCATGTTAATGAGTTTGGAAGATTGAAGTATGTGCATGTGTGCATTGACACTTTTTCTCATGCTATCTGAGCCTCTACTCATGCTGGGGAAGGTGCCAGGTATGTCATTCGTCATATGCATGCATGTATAGCGGCCCTAGGAGTCCCCACGGAAATTAAGACCGATAATGGGTCCGGTTATACCTCACAGCGTTTTCGCAGATTCTGCATGAATTGGGGTATTTCTCATGTTACCGGAATAGCTCATTCTCCTACAGGACAAGCCATCATCGAGCGGGCTCATGGAGTTCTGAAATCACTTTTGCAAAAACAGAAAGGGGGAGAAGAGCTGGATAGCCCACATAACCGACTTGCAAAAGTGTTATATGTTTTGAATTTTTACGGTTGACGGGTGGAAGATCGGACCCTCCTATTGTAATTCATAACACTTCTATGCAGTCAGGTTTGGTAAATCCACAGGTAACGATGAAAGTTCAGTACAAGGACCCACAAACCGGGGTCTGGAAGGGGCCTGCGGAGGTAAAACTAACTGGTAGAGGATATGCTTGTGTCCTCACAGATACAGGAGTTCGGTGGCTGCCTACACGTTGGATAAGACCTTGGAAAGGGAGTGATACTGCAGAACAAGGTTGATATTGTGGTAGATAAGCTATTCAGAATTACAGAGTTTTTCAGTATTATTATAAGATAGTTTATAGTGTAATATCATATAATCATAGAAGTCAAGAATTAAGAGAGTGTTTCCTGTGAACCTAATGTACTACCTGTTAAATTTTAGTATGGGTTAAGTTTTAGCATTATAAGATAATAATAAATGATAAGTGAGTGAAGGTGTTAATTTTCAATGGTGATGGGTACATGCACTTGTGTGTTGTAATATGTTAGTGGTAAGATAAGAATGTATTGTAGTGTAATATAAATTGCTCAAAAACAAAAAAGGGGATTTGTGGGAGGAACATGATGAATGTGTGAGCAATTTATATTGTGTGAGGTACTTTTATAGACTTTTATAAACTTTCATATAGTTTTATAAGCACTATAAGTTATAGGTGTCAAGATGGCCGCGGGTGTCTTTGCTAGAACAAAAGGAAATCGGTGCCAAGAAGAAGGTGGAGTTTGATAAAGTAAATAATTGCCTTGTTACCTGTTAATAACCAATTATAAAGGTATTTGTAATGCATGTTTACATCTGGACAGTGACCTATAACCAATTATGTGCTTCTTGTCACGAGACCTTGTATACAGATGCTATAAAACCCCTGAGCTATCCTAATAAATCGGACATATTTTAGATCTCATAGATCGTGTATGTATGTCTGAGCCTCCCCGTCAACACTGAACCTTAAATTTTTCCATTGTGATGGAGGGGTGTCAATCTCGCTATTTTTGAGGCAGTTTATTTCCTGAATGTCAGCGAATTGGGTTTTTCTGGGCTGAATTTTGTTGTTTTGGAGGTTTTTATGCTCCCAGGATGCTGGGTGAGTTCCAGAGATGGACTTGGGCAGGAGGAATCCCCAAGGCAACACGCTCAGGCCTTGTTTCCCCCCAGCAGGATTTGTCCTTCCCAAAGCTTGGGCAGATGGAGGAGAAGGCTGCAAAGAAGACGAAAAAGCCACGGGTCCCCCAGGCAGGTGAGGAGGAAGTCAGTGCCCCTTTGGCCCTGTCTTGTGGTGCCTGTGGCAGCCGAGCATCGCCCCCGGCTGCAGGACAACCCCACTGGTGCCGCCGTCCTACCGGGGCTGGATCTGGGGGATGTCCTTGGCCTTCCCTCTGGGCCGGAGGCAAATCCCCTGCCTGTCCTTCTTCCTTCCTGCCCCAGGCCCCGAGCTGAGGACGGAGAGCACGGAGGACAAATCCCCCCGGCAGAGCCTGGTGGGAGAGGCCGTTTTGAAGGGCTCCCCGGCGCAGGAAGGCAGCGGGGAGGAAAAGGCCTGGAGATACCCCCAGATGAGGGGCTGCAAAGCCAGCCCAGGGAGCTCTGAGGAGGAAAGACCCGTCCTGTGCCGGGAAGGCGGCCGGAGCTTGAGCCGGAGCTCCGAGCTGGTGGTCCCTGAGCAGCCTCCCAGCAGGGAGAAGCCCTTCAGGTGCTTGGAATGTGGGAAGAGCTTCGGGAATAGCTCCGACCTTCTCAGGCACCAGCAGATCCACACTGGGGAACGGCCCTACACGTGTAGGGAATGTGGGAAGGGCTTCAGTGACAGCTCCAACCTCCTCAGACACCAGCTCATCCACACTGGGGAACGACCCTACCCATGTAGGGAATGTGGGAAGAGCTTCAGGGACAGCTCCAACCTCCTCAGGCACCAGCTCATCCACACTGGGGAACGACCCTTCAAGTGTGGGGAATGTGGGAAGAGCTTCAGCCAGAGCTCCACCCTTCTCAGGCACCAGCTCATCCACACTGGGGAACGGCCCTACAAGTGCTTGGAATGTGGGAAGAGGTTTAAGACCAGCTCACATCTCCTCGTGCATGAGCGGACACACACAGATGAGAGGCCCTTCCGCTGCACCGACTGCGGGAAGGGCTTCAACCAGAACTCCAACCTCATCACCCACCGGCGCATCCACACCGGGGAGAGGCCCTACAAGTGTGGGGAGTGTGGGAAGAGCTTCAGCCAGAGAGGTAACTTGACCAAACACCAACGGACCCACCAGTAAGGGAAGCCCCTCGAGTGCCCCGACTGCGGGAAGAGCTTTGGCCGCTGCTCCCACCCCGAGTGAACCCCCTGATGGTGAGGCAACCCCTGGAGTCCAGTGACTGTCAGTCCAACCCTTTCCACCAGAAAGGGCCAGTCGCCTTTCCCAGGGGCAGGTTGTGCCAACAGAACCCTTCTTGGGGGTTGTGTGGAGATTCCTACCTTGGCTGGGACCCCCCAAGGTCACTGCTGGAGGTTGAGAGCAGAGATCTCCCCACGAGCGTTGGTCTGGGGAGTTCCATCTATCTCTAATGAATAATTCTTGCTTTGGTGCCAACTTGAGTAGAATTGCTTCAACAATTGCTTTAGTGTAGAGCACTGTCCTATCTTATTCTGTATTAGTGGTAGTTTTAGTGTTTCTTTAGTGTTTCTTTTAATGTTTCTTTAGTGTTGCAGTTTCCATGGAGAAAAGGTGAGGGGAGGTGGGCAGAGATTCTCGGCTACAGTCACCAGTTCTTCTCCCTTTCCTCTCCCTGATTTTCCAGAATTTGCCCTCAACTTTTAGAGTGTTCAGAGGAGGTTGCACGTGGTTTCTTGGCACGTAGTCAGTTGAGATATTGGCAGAGATATGATAACCATAAACAATAACAGGATCTATTGGCAGGAAAAGTGCCGTGGGAAGTCCTTGTGGGAACTTGTGGCAGAGAGCTGACAGAGAATGTTTGATAGGAAGTTTTTGACAGGCAGAAACAATTTTTGGCATTTCTATATTATCTGTGTGTTGCCATGGTAAGCGACATAACAGGGAATGCATAATGGTTACCATGGTAACTGACTGTAACAATAGGGTAGTATGATGGTTGCCATGGTAAAGGATGTATTATTAAGGATGCATAATGATTGCCTTATTAACCAACCTTAGTAATGTAAATGCACAATGGTTCCCAAGGTAACCCATATATCAGTGAGAATGAATAATGGTTGCTACATTAAGCAATGTCACAATGAGAATTCACAATGGTTGCCATGGTAACCAGAGTATCAATGAGAATGGACAATGGTTGCCATGGTAACCAGAGTCACAACCAGAATGCACGAAGCTTGCCATGATAACAGAGGTCACAATGAGGATGCACAATGATTACCATGGCAACTGAGGTCACAATGAGAATGTGAAATGGTTGCCATGGTAACTGACATCACAATGAGAACGCAAAATGGTTGCCATGGTAACTGACGTCACAATGAGAACACAAAGTGGTTGCCATGGTAACTGACATCACAATGAGAACGTAAAATGGTTGCCACGATAAGTGTCGTCAGAATGACCATGTCCAATGTTTGCCATGGTAACTGACGTAACAATGAGGATGCACAATGATTGCCATGGTAACCGAGGTCACAATGAGAATGTGCAATGGTTGCCATGGCAACTTACGTAACAATGAGAATGCGCAATGGTTGCCATGGTAACTGAGGTAACAAAGAGAATGCACAATGGTTGCCATGGTAACTGAGGTAAAAATGAGAATATTTTATGTTTTCCATGGCAACCGAGGTCACAATTAGAATTCACAGTGGTTGGCATGGTCATCAACATCATAATTTGGATGCACAATGGTTGCCATGACAACTGAGGTAAGAATGAGAATGCACAATGGTTGCCATGGTAACTGAGGTCACAAAGAGAATGCAAAATGGTTGCCATGGTGTAAGGGGGTACTTTTGATTTAGATGATCAGTGTAGCAAAGAGGGGTGAGAAAGTGATTATATTTGCATGTGAAACCAGCCAGAATATTGTACAAGGTGACTTTATTGCACAAGTTGACTGTAGGGCCCACTGTGCCTTTAGCAATGTTAACTGGATATCCCCCATTATCAGAGATGAGCTCCTCTTTAGTTTGGCTCCACTTTGCAAGAGAGATACAAATCCCCTTGAAACACAATGGTACAGGTCGTCCATAGGGCTGAGGAAGGTGATGGAGAGGAAGATGATGTGGGCAGGGGTCGTTGGTCCCTTGCCCTACAGTGGGGCACGCCCAGACTGTTGCACCACCTTCTGCTGCGTCCTGGCCCTACGTAGTGTAATGTAGAGCTGATGGAATGGGGTGTCGGCACTGCTGGGTGGAGCGATGCTCATCCTTCCATCCACACTGTGCTGCTCCACGGGGACACCCGCCAAGCACGGGCACCGACCAGCCCTGCAGAGCCTGGTAGGCCTGGCCTGTCTGTGCAGGTGAGCACAGTTTATTGATAGGAAGCAACAGGGAAAGCAAAAGTTTTATATCCTTTTTCTTATTGTATCCCTTTAATTCCCTTTTACTAGCTAATGCTGTAATAGAGGCTGTTAGTAGTACTGTATGAACACCAATAGATAAAGTAGGGGTTTTTTTGTATTCTTTTTAACTTTTGATTCTTTTTGCTAATAGTTTTTTTAACTCTCATGCAATAAAAGATATTTTGTAGTGTTTGAATGACTGTTGTACTTGTCTTTATTCCAGACGTGTCCTTGTGAACCTGGCACACACAGTGATGTCATGATTGTCCCTGTGATGTCACCAGTGTCACCGATGATGTCACAGGTGTCTCTGTGATGTCACCCTTGTCCTTGTGAAGTCACCGATGTCCCCAGTGATGTCACTGATGTCCATGTGTAGGGTGCTGAGCTGAAAAAAGACACTATGGATAAACCATACTAATTGGCCTCAGTTAGGCCTGCCCCTGACAAACAGAAGCCTCTTTGCAGGCAGTGGAAAGATACAGGAGCAGTGATAACAGACTGCAGGAATGTAAAAAAAGAGAAACCTGTGACAAAAATAAGGAGGAGTTTTAGGAGAAAAACAATGTCTTCATATCACATGGACATCTGTGTGCACCCAATAGGCAGTGTGTCAGTAATACACGCTCGGTTCGTGGGTTACAGCAAATAACCAATAGTTTGAAAGTGATCACGGCCCGGGGGGGCAGTGAAGGTATATAAGAGGTTGGGTTATGTAAATAAAGCGGAACATTTGCATAAATCATCCTGATTTGTGTGCAGTTTGTTCTGGAAACTCCTCCACCAACATCCACGTTATATCACAGCTGTCCCTTTGTTGTCACCAGTCCCCTGTGACATCACTTGTCCTCAGTGACGTCACTGATGTCCCTGTGATGACACCTCTGTCCCCTGTGATGTCACCGATAGCCCTATGACATCACAGACTGTCCCATTGTGGTCACCAATCTCCTGTGACATCACTGGTCCCCAGTGATGTCACTGCTGTCCCTGTGATGTCACCAGTGTCACCGATGACGTCACTGATGTCTCTGCAATGTCACCTCTGTCCTTGTGACATCACTGCTGTCCCCAATGATGTCACTGATGTCCTTTGGAGATCACGGCTGACCCTTTGTTTTCACCAGTCTTCTGTGATGTCACTGGTCCACAATGATGTCAGTGCTGTCCCTGTAATGTCACCACTGTCCCCTGTGATGTCACCAATGTCTGCCATGATATCACTGGTGTCTTTGTGTTGTTATTCAGGTCCCCTGTGATGTCACTGATGTCCCTGTGACATCACGGCTTTCCCTTTGTTGTCACCAGTCTCCAGTGATATTTCTGGTCCCCAGTGACACCATTGCTGTCTCTGCAATGTTCACCACTGTCCTCAACAGTAGCACCATGTCCTCGTGATGTCACCGATGTCCCTGTGATGCCACTGATGTCCCTGTGATGTCACTGATGTCCCTCTGACATCACGGCTTTCCATTTGTTGGCAACAGTCGCCTATGATTTCAGAGATTCTGCTGTGATGTCACCACTGTCCCATGTGATGTCACCAATGTCCCCAATGATATAATTGGTGTCTCTGTGTTGTCACCTCCACCGCATGTGATGTCACCAATGTCTCTGTGACATCACAACTTTCCCATTGCTGTAAGCAGTCCCTTGTGACATCACTGTTCTCCAGTGATGTAACTGCTGTCCCGATGATATCACCACCGTCCCCAGCAGTGCTACCAGGTCCCTGTGGCGTCACAGATGTCCCCAGTGATGTTACCAGACCCCTGTGATGTCATGGATGGCTTTGTGCCATCACTGTCTGTCCCTTTGTTCTCAACACTCCCCTGTGATGTCACTGATCTCCAGTGATGTCACTGACTTTCCTGTGATGTCACCCCTGTCCCCTCTGATGTCACTGATGTCCCTGACATTGTCACTGGTGTCACTGTGATGTCACCTCTGTCCTTGTGAAGTCCCTGAAGTCCGCTGTGATGTCACCAATGTCCCTGTGACATCACGGTTGTCCCTTTGTTGTCAATAGTCCTCTGTGATGTCACTGGTCCCCAGTGATGTCACCTTTGTCTCTGTGATGTCACCACTGTCCCCAGTGGTGGCACCCTGTCCCCGTGATGTCACCGATATCCCTGTGATGTCACTAGACCTCTGTCATGTCATCCATTTCCCTGTGACATCACAGCTGTCCCTTTCTTGTTACCAGTCCCCTGGGATGTCACTGGTCCCCAGTGATATCACCCATGTCTATGTGATGTCACCACTGTCCCCTGCGGTGTCACCAATGTCCAGTGATGTCATTGCTTTCTCTACAATGTCACCCTTGTCCTTGTGAAGTCACCAAAATCCCTAGTGTTTTCACTGATGTCCCTGTGATGTCACCAGTGTCACTGATGATGTCACTGGTGTCTCTGTGATGTCATCCCTTGCCTTGTGAAGGTACTGATGTCCCTGTGACATCACGGCTTTCCCATTGTTGTCACCAGTCCTCTGTTATTTCACTGGTTTCCAGTGATGTCACTGCTGTCTCTGTGATGTCACCACTGTCCCCAGCGGTGGCTCCATGTCCCCATGATGTCACTGATTTCCCTGTGACATCAGGGCTTTCTGTTTTTGTCACCAGTCCCCTGTGATGTCACTGGTCCACAAAGATTTCTCTTCTGTCCCTGTGATGTCACCACTGTCCCCAATGATGTCACTGGTGTCTCTATGATGTCAACCCTCTCCTTGTGAATTTACCCATGTCCCAGTGATATCACAGCTGTCCCTTTGTTGTCAACATTCTCCTGTGATGTCACTGGTCCCCAGTAATGTCACTGCTGTCGCTGTGATTTCACCACTGTCCCCAACAGTGCCACCCTGTCCCTGTGATGTCACCAGACCCCTTTGATGTCACCAATGTCCCTGTGACATCACTGCTGTCCCTCTGTTTTTACTCTTATGTCACTGGTCCCCAATGATGCCCCTGCTGTCTCTCTGATGTCACCACTGTCCCCTATGATGTCACTGGTGTCTCTGTGATGTCATCAATGTCCCCTGTGATGTTAACAATGTCCTCACTGATGTCATTGTTGTCTCTCTGATGTCACCACTGTCCACAGAAGTGGCACCATGTCTCAGTGATGTCACCTACGTCACTGTGCCATCACCACTGTCCCTTTGGTGTTATTAATCCCCTGTGATGTCACTGTTGCCTAATGATGTAACCTCTGTCTCTGTGATGTCACCACTGTGCCCTGTGATGTCCCCGATGATGTCATTGGATGTCACTGGTCCCCAGTGATGTCACCCACATCACTGCGACGTCACCACCATCCCCTGTGATGCCACCCATGTCCTCGATGATGTCACTGGTGTCTCTGTGATGTCACTGCTGGCCTTGTGAAGTCATTGATGTCCTCTGTGATGTCAACGATGTCCCCAATGATGTCCTGCTGTCTCTGTGGTGTCATCACTGTCCCCTGTGATGTCAACAATGTCCCCAATGATGTCCTGCTG